CTCTTCCCCCCCGCCCGCCCTGACGGAGCACCTTTGTTTAGTCTGGACCGGCCGTGCGTGCCCGACCACCATGACCACTGTGTCAAGTAATCGTCCGTCATTGGACTTCACATGAGCGAATTTAAAAACGCAGCTCCCCGAGGGTCTGTGTGAAAACACCTCACAGCCACTCGGCACTGCCCGCCCGCACGGAAGAGCCGATTAGGAGCCGACGCAGTGGGTCTGCCGGGCGCCGCTCACCTCTCGGGCAGCTGGTACGTCATGAGGACGCACTCGGGCGTCTGCGCTATCATCCTCCACAGGGGCTCCTCGGCCGCGTGGGGAACGGCGTCCCCTGCCCGCACTTCCCGAGGCTGCCGCCCGTTGGGGGCGACTTCAGAGGAGCCGTCGCTACCAGAGAGGCACATGCTGCTGCCACTGCTCCCTGCCAAGAGCCAGCACGGAACAGATCAGCACACGCCTGCGCGGCCTCCTTTCCCCTCCGGCCCTCAGTCTTCGGAGATTCCGCCCCCGCCCCCTTCTTCACCACCCAGCCCTGCCCCACCCGGGTTACCAGCCAGGCTGAGCAGGGTACACTCAGAGGACGCTGCTCGACACTGCGGAGCACATCCCCTCACAGGGCACCTGGGACACTGGTCAGGATGGGCCGAGCTGGACCCTTCAGCAGGTGCCAGGACATTTAAAAGCATAAGAATGTGTTCTGTCTGCAATTCCGCTAGGACCCAATGAAAGACCTAGAAAATCCCAATACTAGGTAATTAAATAATTCCTAGTAACTTATGGTCAAAGAAGAAAACACAGGGGAAATGAGAAAATGTTTTACACCGAATGAAAATAAAAACACGCACATCAAACCTGAGGGATGAGGAAAGCTCTGCGCAGAGGGAAACGGAAAGCACTAAATGTTCATATTAGGAGAAAACAGGTGACTACTCAATGGGCTAAGCTCCCACCTTAAGAAATTAGAAAAAGGGCAAACAAACTCCAAAAGTACACAGAAGGGAGTAACAAAGCTTAGAGCAGAAATCGATAAAACACAAAACCAAATAACAGGGGGAAAAACCAATTAAAAACTGTTTCCTGGAGAAGTTAATACAATTGGTAAACAGAGAGTCAGAACAGTAAGAGTACAGTGGATTCTACAGACATTCATCGAGTAAGAGAATGCTGTCAACAAGTTTATGGCAATAAATTCAACAACTTAGATGAAATGGACAAAACCTGGAAATACACAAATTCCCGAAGATCCTCAGGGAGAAACAGATGACCCGAGTAGACCGCAATCTATTAAAGAAATCAAATATGCCGTTAACAACCTCTCACAAAGAAAACCTCAGGCCCGATGGCGTCCGTGTGCGATTCTACCGAACATACAAGGACGACACATCAACCCAAAACGAACTCCTCCAGAAAACGAAGAGGGAAACGTTCCCAAGTCATTTTTCAAGGCCATCCTTCCTCTAATACCAAAACCTGACAAGGAAAGAAACCAATAAAACAATATTTCTCTTAATAGGTGCAATACTCCTTAACAAACTATTAGGGTATAGAATCCAGCAATATATTAAAAAGATAAAACAGCATGATCAAGTACAAGGTTAACTTAAGATTTGAAAATTAATTAATATAATTCATTATATTAATAAAATAAGAAAAAAAATATGAGTATCTCAACAGGGGTAGGAAAACACCTCAGCAAATTAACAGGAGAAAGGAACGTCCTCCCTCTTACTGACAGGGAACATTTAAGGGAACCACACCTGACATCACACTTAATGGTGCAACTCTGTGAGCAAGGCAGGCATGCTGGTCTCAGTGCTTCTACTCACACTGCTCTGGGGTCTTAGCCAGTCCAATAGGCACCAGATCGTAAGGAAGAAGTGAAGCTATATTCGCAGACAGCAAGACTGTCCGTGTGGAAAAGTCCTACAGGATCTAGAAAAGAGCTACAAGAACTAATACATGAGTTTAGAAAGACTGCAGAATGTAAAATTCAAAATCTGATTGAATTTCTATATGCTAACAGCAAACTATTGGAAATTCGAATTTTATTTTAATTTTTTTAAAATGTATTTTTATTGAGTTCAGAGAGGAAGGGAGAGGGAGAGATAGAGACATCAATGATGAGAAGGAATTACTGATCAGCTGCCTCCTGTATGCCCCCCAGTGGGGATGGAGCCCACAACTCGGGCATGTGCCCTGACCGGGAATTGAACCAGTGACCTCCTGGTTCATAGGTCAACACTCAATCACTGAGCCACGCTGGCTGGGCTGGAAATTGGAATTTTAAAATGCCATTCACTACAGCATCAAATATATGAAACCCTTAGGGGTAATTTTAGCAAAACATGTATGTGTAAGATCTGTGCATGGAAAATAAAAAAAAATGCTGAGAAAAAGTAAAGACCAACATAAAAAAGAAAGGCATCATGCTCATGGGTCAGAAGACTCAATACTGTCAGGGTGACAATCCTCCCAGAACCAGCCTATCGATCCGACACAGTGCTCATCAAAATCCAGCAGGGTTTTGTTTTTTGTTTGTAGAAACTAAGAACCTGATTCTATAATTTATGTGGACAAAGGAAGGACCTACAATACCCAGAATTATTTTGAAAAGAAGAATGAAGTTGGAGGACTTAACCCACCAGAGTTGCAGACTTACTTGAAAGCTGCCTCAAAAGCATGGGGGATCACCCCACAGCTAGCTGTGAAGGTAAACAGAGCCGGTCCAGAAACAGACCCAAACATATACAACCAGTCTATTTCCAACAACGGTGCCCTGGCAATTCAGGGGGGAAGGGCCAGTCTTTCCCTTAGATGGGGCAGCAACAACTGGATAACCCATGTGCAAGGAAAGTGTATTGACCCTAACCTCACACCACACATAAAAATTAGCTGAAAATGGATCACAAACTTAACTATAAAAGCTAAACCTACAAAACTTCCAAGACAGAGACTAGCTTAGTGACTCAATTAAAAAAAAATCAATGAAAAAATATCGTTAAGTGAGGATTAATAAAAAAAAAACCTGATCAACTGAAATTTATTAAAATTAAAAAAATCTTTTGCTCTTCAAAATAAAGCTAAAAATAAAAGATAATAAAATGAAAAGGTAAGCCACACACAGGGAGAAATCTTTACAAAACAAATATTTGATAGAGGACTTGTATCCAGAATATAAACAGAATTCTTACTACTCAATTGGAAAGTAACACCGCCCCTCCCCCCCAAAATGGGCAAGAGACTTGAACACATATGATGGCAAAAAGCACATTAGAAGATACTCAACACCATTAACCAACAGGCAAATGCAAACTAAAACCACAGTGAGGTATCCCTGCAAACCCATCGGAATGGCTAGAGCAGAGGTCCTCAAACTTTTTAAACAGGGGGCCAGTTCACTGTCCCTCAGACCGTTGGATGGCCGGACTATAGTTTAAGAAAAAACTATGAACAAATTCCTATGCACACTGCACATATCTTATTTTGAAGTAAAAAAACAAAACGGGAACAAATACAATATTTGTATTTGCATGTGGCCCGCGGGCCGTAGTTTGAGGACCCCTGGGCTAGAGCTTATGATGGACAAGACCTAGTGTTGGCCAGGGCGCGTTGCAAACTGGAGCTCACGTGCTGGGACAGGCATGCAGAGCGGGGCAGCCTCTGTGGAAAACAGCTGGGCAGTTTCCTGTGGTCACCGCACACATGACCTCGCTAGCAATTCCCTTTCTAGGCACCTACCCAAGAGGAAACAGGTCCATGAAGGACTCAGACTAACACGTTCACCTCAGCACTCACATCCCAAACTGGAAACCCAACCACCAGCCACGGCGAATGGACATCCACACGGTGTCCTGCTCCTCAGCAACGAAAAGGAACAAACTGCTGATGGGGCCGTGGGAGCCTCGCAGCGCGTGCTCGGGGAAGAACGGCGACAGGGTGCGTGTGGCGACTCCATCCGCATGGCCTCCTGGGAGGACAGCGCTCAGGGGCGGAGCAGCCGGGCAGGGCTGACCCAAGGCCGCGGGACTCTCCCGGGGACGGAGCTGTTCTGGGGGGATGGGGTGGTGAGGGCCTGAGTGGACGTTCCTCAGAATTCTTGAGTGGCACCCTGATTTGGTGCCTTCTGTTGTATGTGAGTAAATGTACCCCAGAAAGCTTTCACAAAGAAAACAGGAAACGCACTGGCCTTCCACACCGGGGCGGAACCCAAACAGCCCGTCCTCAGACGGGGCCCTCCTGGCGGCTGAGCCCGAGGGCCGTGTCCCCTGGACCCCTACCTGATGCCGCAGAGCCGGGTCCAGGTGGGAACTCCCCGGGAAGGGGCCCCGGGGACGGGTCCCTGGCAGAGAAATGGTTGTTCTCCCCGCTGTTGCCTGGAGCGCACTGCTGGGGAATAAGAACACGAGAAAACACGTTAGCATCTCAAGCATCATGTGACCAAATACCTGGGAGATCTTTACCGTCACCCGTTACACAGAATGAAGTGCCAGGGGTAACTGAGACTCGGAGCAGGTCAGCCTGGCCCTGAGAATGGGGGCCAAGTCCCTGTGTATGTAACTGTCAGGTACCACTGATCTGCGAGCACCTATGAGATGCCACAGAACGTGCTGGTGGGCGCTTTAAGACGTCTTGTCATTCAGAAAAGATGCGCTGAACTTCCGTGTGTTCTAAGCAGTGTCCCAAACCCTAGGAATAGAAGGTGGACGAAGCGAAGGCCCAGCCATCTTGATTTCCTCGGGGAGGACTCCATAGTGTGACTGCATTTAATCCTCAGGGTAAGCCAGGAAGTATTCATCATTCCGTTTTTCAAAGAAGCAGCAAAGGCAGACAGGCTAAATAACGTGCCTCCACGAACCCAGCTAACAGGTGACGGGCTGGGATGCAGGCCTGTCTTGTCCGGCGGCCCAGGCTTCGCTTGCCGGCCCCGCCTGGCCTTGGCGTCCGGCAAGCGCACTGGGGCCAGGCTTCCACACCGAGCTCCCTGGCCTGACCCGGGCGGACTGTCCTGATCTGATGTTAGGCAGGTGCTATGCCTGGGAAGGAAGCGAGAGAACTGCAGGCTCACGCTCGTCCTGGCTCCTGCCCACCGGCTACCTGGTCATCTGAGAAGCCCTTTCAGGGAAAGGATGACAAGTTAAAGGAAACTGACTCAAAGCCCTCATTTCTGAAACTGACAAGCACACATGTGAAACTCTGAACTGCCTGCTGAACTGATGATGCCGACAGCCTCCTACCCGCCCCATACACAGCTGCCGCCCCGTAACTGTGCTCGAAAAAGTGACATTGCTAGAGTCATGCCTTGTCAGCATGGCTTACTCCTGTCGAACCAGACCACACCTCAGCTGTAGGTAAGAAAACGCACTTTAGACACAAGGAACATATTGAGTTTAGTGCTCGGATGTCAAGTTTTAAAGGAGGAAAAACTTAGTTGCTATAGAAAATCTGAAAGCACTTTGGGAAACCACACAACACGTCTAAGCAGCCAGGACGCAGCAGCTTCTCATTCCGCTTCACACCAAGTCCATGTTTCCGGAGCCCAGCGCTCAGCCTGCGCCACAGGTACCGCGGCCACCACTCAGCCACCTGTGCTGCGCCCAGCGAGGCCCTT